AAGTTATTTTAAAAGCATGAGCAAAAGTATATTTTGGGAGTAGTATTGAACACCGATGTGGGGATGAGAGTTCATATTAACTCAAGCCTCCATGTAAACCATGTAGTCATCATGGGTATTAACGGGTCATACTTTAGATGATCACGTAAGTTAAGCTAGAGGATCCACTAAGTTAAGTAAGTTCGTATACCGATGTCAAGGTATAGGATGGTATGTGGTAGCATGAGGTAAAATATTTTGTCATCACTTAGGATCACAGTGATGGTTGTCGGTTAGATAATCCCCCACATAAGTTATATTACTTTAAATAAGTAAAGTTAAGTTTGTTATTGTTTTATTTTAGTGAAGTAAGATTGTTTCAGCTGATTTAAAGTTTCACATGTGTTTGACATCCTTATCTATATTGAGTTGAGAATTCATGGGTTGAGCAGAGCCAAGGTAAGTGTTCCTCCTTACTACTTTCAAGCTTAAGTTATGTTACAATTCCAACTCGCATACTCGTACATTCAATATACTGATACTAGTTGGCCTGCATCGTTTCAATGATTCAAACACATGTAACCAGAATCAACATCCAGTGCCTCTTTGATCCGTTTGAGCACTCGTCCAAGGTGAGCCTCCTTGCATTCTAGAGGACTCTTTTATTGCTTTCCACTCTTTTCATTTATGGAATGTTGTGGGGTTGGTCCCAACGTTCATCCTAGTATTATAGAGGCTTCATAGACAGTTTGTCAGTTAGTTCAGTTGAGTCTCTTTTTATTACAGATACTTTATCATGAGACTTAATTGTCATTTTGGCCAAACTATTTTGTTTAATTAATTTTTTTTTGAGAATGTTTTCTTGATTTATGATTAAGTTAATTATTACATTGAGTTTAGTAAGCCAGACCAAGGGTTCTCTCAAGGCCAACTATGGTCATTGGGTGTCGGCCACATTCAGGGTGTAGGCTCGGGGCGTGACAGTTTTATTTGATTTATTAATGAAAGAAAGTTAGTTTCCAAAGAGGGTGTCTATCACTTAGTCCGAGTTAATGACTCTAGTGTTGAGGTACATGCTATTTAGTCAGTTCCAATAGTAAAAAAGTTTCCAAAAGTCTTCCTAATAATCTTTTCGGAGTCCCTCCTTAGAAGAAATAGAATGCGGTATAGATATTCTTCCAGATACTCGCCTTATACTTATTCTGCCATAGAGAATGGATCTAGAAGATTTAAAACAGAAGTTGATAGATCTCCTAAAGAAAGGTTTTATTTGACCAACTGTCTCATCTTAAGTGCTCCGGTCTTATTTGTGAGAAAGAAAGATTGTTCACTTAGGATTTATATAGATTAGCATCAATTGAACAAGGTAACCATCAAGAATAAGTATCCTCTTCTTGTCATGTCGTTTGGTTTAACTAATTCACCTGCAGCATTCGTGGACCTTATAAATAGAGTATTTAAGCCATATCTAGATATGTTTGTTATCATTTTCATTGATGAGATACTAATCTATTCGAGGAATGAAAAAATCATGCTCGTTATCTTAGAATAGCTCTCAAGACTTAGAAAGATAAAGAGTTATATGCCAACTTCTCCTAGTGCGAACTTTGGCTTGGGTTCATGGCATTCATAGGCCACATTGTGTTTGGAGAGGAAATTAAAGTTGATACTCAGAAAAAAGAGACAGTGCAGAATTGGCCTAGACCTGCATCTCCAACTAATATTAGGAGTTTCTTGGGTTTGAATGGATATTATAAAAGGTTTGTATAGGGGTTCTCGTCTATTTCGTCTCTTTTTACCAATTTGACTCAGAAAACAGTGAACTTCCTATTATCAACGTTGTTACCGGTAGCTTTTTCACCATTTTATTCTTTTTTATTGTTCCCGCTCTCAAATGATGCATTTTTCTTTTTATTCTTATCCCTTGAAAAGAGAGTTGCATCTGGTTCAAGGCTTCTTGCAATTTGCTTTGCCAATGCCTCTTAGTTGGGAAGCAAACTTTCAAACTCTTTAACCGAAGGTTACTTTGTCCAGCCCTAAGTAAAGGTTATGAATGAGTACTCCTTCTTCAATCCTCGAATATCTTACTTCAGCAATTTTCTCATCGGGATCTTATTATGAAATTTCAACACAAATAATTTTAACTCATAAGAAATATTCAGATATAGACATGCATGCATTTGTTAGCATTGCCGATTCATTTTCCAGTAGTTGCATCCCAGTGGTGTTCTTTTTAGTAAACAACCGCTCAAATATCTCCCAGACTTCTTTTGGTGACATCATGTACATGATGGATGAGCCCTTTTCCAAATGATGTTCTCAAAGCAAAAAGTGTTTTAATTTACCGCATTTGATCTTCCATTTTCTCCGTGATTCTAAATTTTCTGAAGTATTTACTGGAATTTTTGCTTCAGCACCAGCAATAAGATTCCATAAGTCTTGACCTTGAAGGTAAGCTTCCATACACATTCTGCAGTGCTTGTAGTTTGTCCCCATAAGCTTCTCGACACCAAACTGTGTTTGAACTATTTCCTCCATTTATTGACTCCATACTGCACAAACGTTTTCTCTGGAACTTTCAATCTCCTCCAACAAGACTTAACAAACTTGATAAACAAGAAGAAAGAAAGAACGTTCAAGCCAATAACCTGATACCATAAAACAAAAGCACATTCAGAGAAAAAAAAGAATAAGTGCACCAGTCGAACAGAAAATGGAACTTTATATTTTCTCAAACTCAAGGCTCCTTGTTTTTACAACAAATACGCAGCAGATGTATATAATATGTCACTAACTTAGACACCTAAAGTGACTATTAATTAAGACTCCTATCAAGATAGACTTCCTGCGAAATAGGAACTAATTTATTTGACTAAGTAAACTAAACAACACAGAAGTAAAACACTGAAGATGCACTAATTTTTAACACTATTTGTCTTTGTTCATATTTCATTTACTGGATCTATCCTATGATCTTACAAACACACTGTGATTGTGTACTATTACTACACTTGCTCTTTCTTTGTTGAGTATAAGGCATATACTCCGGTAATTTTTTTTGAGTCCTCGGCTATGAGAGTTCCGTTATCTGAATCCAAGGGTGTGCTTCTTCCTCCAAAGTTAGTAAGGATTCTTCTTTTCCTTCTTAGTCCATTATTAGGACTCAGACAAAATGTACGCTTTATTTCTATTGTTTTTTTGGGTTGCATCCCTTATCCTAGACTATTAGATTTTTTGGTACTATGACTTTTAGGTTCTAGGGAGCTTATTCCACGACCACTTTTAATTGACAAGTTAAGTTAACGCAAACTCAAACATTTAGTTGCTTATAAACTGTTCTCCTAGTGTTTATATCATTTTATGTTCTAAAATAGTTTTATAGGTTAGCCTTGGGATGGTAGTTGGTTCTGTTTGGAGTGAAAATAATTAGGTATAATGTGGAAACTAGCAAAACAAACTTCGAAAGATCATGAGTGAGAAGATAAACGAGAAATATACCAAAAGACACAAAGATTTAATGTTAGGTCAATTCAACCTACATGCACAAAAGAGATTAGCAATCCACTATAAATATGAGAGTACAAAATATAGAGAAAATAACATCAACTAATTCACTCAGAATACATGGGAGGTTGACACAAGTGATAACGTATCAATCTTGTGTCCCATAAATTCATACCCTAAACAATAATCTCAAAACCTTTAAGACTACATTGTGAATGTTGGTTAAGTTAGAAGGAACAAAACTATATTTATAGAGTCCTACATGTTTTCCTACAAGAAAACAAGCTAGCCAACACAAAACCTTAACCTAAAAGGAAACCCTATTTATGATAAGAAACTTAGGGTAAATAATGTTAAACAAATCTCCCTAATGGCTTGAATTTCCGACAAAATATATTTGTCCACCTTCTTCACATAATTTTCAACAGTTTGTTTCTCCTCTCCGTAATCTCCTTCATCAAATTTTTGTCTCACTACGGAGAACCTCTATGAAATAATTTTTTCAACAAAAATCTTCATTATTGCCAAAAGGTTGTGGCTAGAACATTATCCATCAAGATGAACACCTCTTTCTAACCTGGTTCAATCGTCGATTATTGAACCATCACTGGACCTGACTCTATGATTGAATATGTCCCTAATGCCACTTATTAGGACCAAAAATAATTAAGTGAAATGTGGAAGCTAGCAAAGCAAGGCTCGAAAAATCATGAGTAAGAAGACAAACGAGAAATATACCAAAAGACACAAAGATTAACGTGGTTCGATCAATTCAACCTACAATCACAAAAGAGATGAGCAATCCACTATAAATATGAGAGTACAAAATATAAAGGAAAATAATATCAACCAATTCACTCAGTATACATGTGAGGTCCACACAAGTGATAACTTATCATACTTGTGTCCCACAATTTCTCCCCCTAAGCAAAACTCTGACTACATTGTTAATGTTGATCAAGTTAGAAGATGCAATATTATATTTATAGAGTCCTAAACTTTTTTCAAAATGAAAAGAAATTGCCAATCCAAAACTTTTTTCTAAAATAAAAGCCTATTTATAATAAGAACTCATGAAAATAATACCCAACAGATTCTCCTACTAAAGGGTTGGTATTGGTGTCACTCACAAAAGGTTATGATCATGACAACTATATAGAAGCTACATAAAGGGACAAAATAGTCAAAACACACAAAAACAAGAAAATGACCAAGATGGTCATTACACTTCTAAAGCTCACATGTATAGTAGTAATTCATAACTCATCAATATTATTTTCTTCTTCTTTTGTTTTACACATTTGAAATGAATGTGTAATGAGACTTCCACTTATAATTGTAATATGACAAAGAACAAATATAATGACCAAAAAAACCATATTCCGAATCGATTAGCCAAATGTAAACTGCTACTTTTTGAAATATATATTTTTTCAAAACCACACATTTCTACTTAAAAAGGTTTTTCTAATCTGGCTAGATAGTTTATCAATATAAAAAATTATAGCAATAACATATCTCATAATCTTAATATTTTATAAGTCAAAGAAAGCGAATATATCATCCTTCAAACATATGAAATTTTCAAAGTTTAAATATCCAAAAAACAAAAATAACAACTTTGAAACTAAAACATCACATTTTTAATCAAAGCAACCCAATGCTGCTTTGATATGTAAAACTATAGAGCTCAAAAGGTTAAGAACTGAAGTCACTGCCTCCATACGTTGTTCCTGGGAGATTGGATTATTATTAGTACAAATCAATTTTTGAAAAGCCACTGTCAAGATAGAACCATCTTTTTCACTTCCATTATTGCCCCTCTCCGAGGCAAAGCGGCCATCAGGACTTATGATGATACCTAAGGGAAAAATGTCAACTTTTGTGACATCACCTCCATTGGTAATTGAAGTGACTATTGGTAAATCTATGGGTCCATAGATTAAAAATGCTCTCATTTCATCGATGGTTGACTCTTCAAGAAGTAACATGTTGTTCTCTTTTAGCATATGAGACTGCATATATATGTTAGAACAATTTAAGAAGTATTAGTATAAGCACTAAAAATATTAAGAATTACTCCCTCCGTCCCATTTTACGTGGTACCATTTCCTTTTTGGTCAATCCCCAAAAGAATATTACATTTCTTCATGTAGTAAATATTTAAACATACAATTTCTCTTTTACCCTTGTTTATCCCACTTAATTTTAAATAGATCTAATACATTTATAAAAAGAGAGAAAAATGTGTTCACTTTTGAAGGACAATTTGATAAACAATTCTAAGTCTTCATTTATTTCTTAAACTCCGTGCCGGATCAAATGGTGTCATATAAAATGGGATGAAGGAAGTAGTATGATAAGTGTCCCTCAATAATTAAAAATATTGTTTTTTATCCCATCTAACAACATATTATCAAATAATCTTTTTATCTATAACATATTTAGCTACACATCATCAATTAATATTTTATCATAATATTTACCTAAAAGATAGAAAACACATGAGCAATTATTTATTGAGAAAATAGCAACCTATAAATATGACAATACCTGAATGATTGTAATATCGTTTCCGGGTAGAGTTCCGATTAGTACTCGAACTAACTCAGTCACATTATTTCCTTCAGCAAAAAACATCCCACTATAAAAAACAAAATCAAAATGAAAAAATTTACAAACTCATAATTCAATCGACAAAAATTAATTCATGAGATGAATATTATAAGACTATAATTAAATAAAATAAAACTGCACAATTAATGCCAAGAGCTGAACATACAAATAAAATAACATAGGAGTCCAATATAAGTAGATCGGACAAATTCACGATTTAAACTTAGTAGTTTAAAATCTATAGATACTAAACTCATTCTAGTTTTAAAATTATGAGTCCCAAATCTTATATATGTTGAAATTTTTGCGAATTTCACATGAAAAATCCTTATAAGAATTGAAAAAAGTTAATCTAATAGGGTACATTTATGTTTAGTCAAAAACAAGTTATACATGAATTAATAATGCAAAAAATATTTCTATTAAAAGTTTGGTTCATTAAATTAAAACTGAATATACAATATAAAAATACATACCGTCAGACCTCTCTTTATCAAATATATTTCACTATAACATCTAACTTTCATTGGAACTAATATCAATATCATATGACATCAACATGTTATCTATAACATCATTTCGATTCAACAACACAAAAATATATAAATTATCTACGTCATAGAGAAGTTCGATACATACCTGATATCTAGTCTTGTCATCTTTGAGGAAATTAAAAATAGTTTTGAATGCAAAAGGAAACCATAGGGATGTAGCGGCAGTGGCAATGAAGCCTTTTGATTGGATAGTTTCTTCATTTTCTCTAATAGAAACCCTATATGTATTATTCAACTTTGATGAAGTTGAAAAATCTAATTTTTCTGTCAAACATAGGATTTCACAAAAACTCTTCACCATCCTTCGAGATATCTGCTTAACATTTTGCAGTCCTTCTGAAATATCATTAACCACTAAAAATTAAAAATAAAAAAAAAGAAAAATAAATATTGACTTGGCAAAATAGGATGTGTGTGGTGTGATGGAACTCGTACATTTCAAAGAGTATTTGACATATTCTTATCTTATTATGTAAATTAAAATTTTAAAACCTGAAAATACAAAGAATGGAAAATAAAATCGAACCTTCTTTGAGACCATGCCTAGTAGGACATAATGCATCCGCTGGAAAATTATACCTTTCACGCGTCCTTTGAAGTGTAACAATCTATCTTTTAGCTCCATATGTTTGACGACCATACAACAAGTCTCTAAAGATATGATTAACCTGATTTTTTTATCTACTTGAACATGTTCAATCCACGTAACTTACAAAAGAAAAGCATATCAAAAAAGCTATAAAAACAATCTTGATTATTGGAAACATTTTCGATAAGAATCTATGTTGCAAATTAATACTTTTTAGTATTGAATCACACAATGTGAGGATTATTCAAGATATAAGGATACAACTATTCAGTGTATTTAGTAACATTTGAACATTTAGGGCATCAACTTTCATGACTCAAAAAAAAAATGCGATGACACTTCTATTATTCCACCAAGACAAGTCAGCATAAAATTCAAATATAACAACAAATGTGGAAGCAAAGAAAAACAATGAAGTCTAACACAATCAGATTAAGTGGAAAAAAAGTCAACACATCTTAACACGTCAAATCCATGAAATATCTTTGAATCTGAAGTCGACGACTCTCCTAGATAAAATTCAACATTTCAGGGCTGATAAAACTAACGAAATTCCATTCGAAAACTCAAAAGTTAGATTTCTACAAGAAAACATTTAACACAAGGATCCAAAACTAAATATTTAGAGTGTGAAGAATATAACACAAGGATTTAAGATTGATTTAATCGAGAATAAAGATAGTTTGATTCTTATACAATATTTAAAGATATGTATCCATACTTATAAAATTTTACCTATGTAACACTCTTTGGAATATAAACTACACATGAATAGTGATATATGTTAGGTTTGAGTTGTTAAACAATCTCTTGCAAAAATGTAAAGTAAATCTCTGCAGTGCCCGTGTGATACGGGCCCTCATCGAGACCACACATAGAAAAATATTAGTGTTTTCAAGCTATTGTGAGAGGAAGTGATTCTTACCAGACTCGTGCGATAACCCATATCTTGAATTATACATCCAGAAGGAAACTTCCATGCATAAGAAGGTGCACAAGTTTGAATCTCTTTCAATAAATCATATGAAACATCCAGCATTATCCATGTTTTATGATCAAGTTGTTTACAACAATGTATGAATAAAAATTCTCTAGCGTCTACTAGAGGAGACAAAATATGCAACTTTTCATACATCTGTTTTCAAGAATAAAGAAAAAATTAGATCATTTTTTATGAATCAACTTTAATATATATTTAGTTTTTAAGAAAAAAATATTAAATATGAATTAACATTTACCAATTGAATTGAAATTCCCATATCCCCAGAATCAAGAAAATCAAGAATCCTTGCTTCTGTGACTATAGTAGGAAACATGTTCATCCATTTGATCTGCATATATAAAATCAATTAGAATATGATTAATGTTTATACAATAATAATCATGCCTAAAAACATTTCATATAATTAGAGTCGGCTATATAAATATTCATTGTACATGTTTGTGTCATTTAAACTCATCTTACTTGTGAACAAAACTATTATAATATGAAAATGTTTAAGAAACTTACCGGATCAAGAAATATTTGGATCAACTCAATTGCAGTCATTGGTACAACTCCACAATCCGTTGATGATTCAATTTGAGCAGTTGATCATTTATATGGTCGATTTGGTTTGGAAATGCTTTGTCATAGTACTCGCGATGAATAAGCCACCTCTCATCAGTTGATGATTTTACCCAACATGGATTATCCAAATGAAAAATTCCACACATTTCAATCCTAGCAGGAACAACTACATAAGAAATAACTGATTGCTCCCCATTATCGCGATGAAAACTAAACTTTTTTGGTGTCAATGGGGAAATTATTGGAATATCATTAATATTTATTGAATGTGCTCGAATGTTATCAGTAGAATAATTATTATTTTCTTGATTTATAGGAGTATATCCAATGGAAGAGCCACTTATAATTTGTCTCAATAAACTTTCATCAGCTGGTGGTGTCAAATTTGAATCCGTCACAACAGACTTCCCACGGATACTTGATATGATTTTTGATAATCTTGCGGTCTGCGAGAAAAAACAAAATTGTCAAGTCACATGACATGTTATATATATA